ATATGAAAATAATGAGAAGACAGAATTGGCTGCTTAGGTGTGAGAGTCTCTTCAATTCTGCCATGAGGGTGGGAAAAAGGTACAAAGGCACAGACAGAAAAAAAACCCTTGAAAACTAGCTATTAATCTGAAACTGAACAGCAGGATTGTAAGAGGACAAAAACCATTCTTCAGATGATGTGGGGAGTCATGGATCCAAGCCTTCCCAGCAACCTGATGGAAACTCATGCTTCACTCTGTCCTAAAATATCAAGAGATACTTAACACAACACAACCCAGCCCACAATGAGGCAATAGGTCTCTATATGCATCACTCCCACAAGTTGAGTGATAAGCAAAGAAGCATTTAGTGCACCACTTAGTGTTTCTTATTACATAGAGTACATTATGCAAAGATTTCTGCAGTTATTTCATAGACATCAGGGCTGAAAGGGACCTCGGAAGATCATCGAGTCCAGCCCCACACCCAAAGGGCAGGAAGTCAGCTGGGGTCATAGGATCCCAGCAAGATAAGCATCCAGTTTCATCTTGAAGGTGTTCAATGAAGGCGCTTGAACCACCTCCGGTGGCAGGCTGTTCCAGACCTTGGGGGCTCGGACAGTAAAGAAGTTCTTCCTTATGTCCAGCCTAAAACGATCTTGAAGTAGTTTGTGACCATTCGACCTCGTCATCCCTTGGGGCGCTCTGGTGAACAAACGTTCCCCCAGATGCTGGTGGTCACCCGTGATAAACTTGTAGGTGGCCATCAGATCGCCCCTGAGCCTGCGCTTTTTCAGGCTAAAGAGCCCCAGGGCTCTCAGCCTGTCATCATAGGGTCTGCTTCCCTGACCTCTGATCATGCACGTGGCTCTTCTCTGGACTCTCTCAAGCTTCTCCACATCCTGCTTGAATTGTGGAGCCCAAAACTGGACACAGTACTCCAGCTGCGGCCTCACTAAGGCCGAGTACAGGGGGAGAATGACGTCCCGGGATTTGCTTGAGAAGCATCTATGGATGCAAGCCAGCGTTTTGGTCACTTTACTAGCCGCCGCATCCACCATCAGATTCTCGTCCGCCCACTTGCTGAGCCTGTCCAGGTCAGCCTGGATAACCTGCCTGTCTTCTGGTGTGGATGCTTTGCCCCAGAGGTTGGTGTCATCGGCGAACTTGGCCAGTTCTGATCGCTTCTGACTCCAGTGTCCACATCATTAATGAAGATGTTGAACAGTATGGGTCCAAGGACAGAGCCTTGGGGGACCCCACTGGTCACAGGACACCACGATGAGTGACTTCCATCGATTACTACCCTCTGGGTCCGACCCCGGAGCCAATTTTCCAGCCAGTGGTTCGTGGAGGACCCAAGGCGACAATTGGCCAGTTTCTCCAAGAGGCGATCATGGGACACCAGATCGAAGGCTTTTTTGAAGTCAAGATATATGACATCAATCTCTTCTCCCTTGTCCAGGTGATAGGTCACCTGGTCGTAGAAGGAAATGAGATTGGTCAAGCAAGACCTACCCGCAACAAACCCGTGCTGGCTATCCCTTAAGATGTTGAATTACGCCATCCAGAATTTAAATGCAAAATACTCTAGGCACTACAGCGATGGCTTCCAACACAGGAATTGAAGTGCAGCCCCCATTACAGATATAGAAGACAAAATTAGCCCCACATACCTACAATATGCACAGTAAAGGCAAGTTTCACTTAGTGTGGGAAAACTTTTTCAATGTCTTGACTTACGAGTATTTAAAATATAATTGTTGGTAATACATTATAAAGCAGGAAAGTGTAAACGGAGAGGATCAAAGCGAGACCTGCAAGGCAGAGGTGGCTAGTCCCCTACCAAATGTGAAAATTAGGCTAGAAGGCAGATTTAACTTCATCTGTCATTTGAACCACCCTGGGGATAAGGAGCATAAACAGTTGTGATTCCTCTATTTATTGCTTTTAAGACAGAGGAACTAATAGAGGAACATCTTTTCATAACCTATACTATTTCTACTGTACTACTACAATTAAACATTCAATTACTCCCAGGTCTGAGTGTGAACTGAGACTAAATACACCTAGGCTGAGTGAAGGCTAACCTGTACTAAGTGCAGTTGCCTCCTTCTTAGACACTAGCACCATCATGTGGCCAATTTTTGTCACTCGAATTTGATTTAAACGTTTTGCTAATATGAATCTCACTTATGGCAATTAATAAAACAGATGATCACAATTTTATTTAAGGAAATATCCAATAATAAAGCTAGATTCTGACCTTGTTTTGCTTACCAGAACATTTTGGAGAATATAAATCCTAAGAAATGTCTACAGCCGTTTTTGAACTACACTTTCTTGTTAATAAATCTTTCAGTATGTTAGACTCAAGACCCTTTGTCATTTTGAAATTGGAACTTGTGTTTCTTAGTCACAAAAGTACTTTTGAAAATTCTATTCTGTCCCAGCTATTTGAAATAATCTTGTCATAGCAATAAAGATACAGGAATCCCGAAAGATGATGTGACATCAGTCCCTATTTTATCCAACTATTTAATGTATGCAATATACGTATGAGTATATGCATGCATTTCATTTCACGTACATAGCTTTGAGATACTTTTTGGAAAATTGCTATAACTTGGCAAGGCATTTGCAAGAGAATTCTGCCTCCTGCTTCCCTTGGTTATTATAACACCTGAGAGACAATTGTTTACATGTTTAAAAAATCCTAAAAAGCTGCTTGTCCTAGAAAGGCCAAATGTCCTGCATTTGGCAGCCTTCAATAGGTCCTAGCAATTTTGGGCGCATTTACACAAGATGCTATAGCACAGTAGCAACAAGCAAATGCGCCGTAGCTGGTTGCTATAGCACAGTAGCATTGCCAGGCACTAACCATATGGCGATGATACTGTACAGTAACTCGTTGCTACTGAGCAGTAGAGACAGGAAAAAAATACATGCGGCAACAGTACTGTGCAATAAAGCTGGTTACTGTGCAGTCATTTAGTACTGGCTTATGCTAGTACTAAATGACTGCACCGTAACAACTGTGCAGTCCACCACTTATGTAGACACAGTCACTAAGTCGGACTTGTGCTAAAGTAAAATTGCACTGTTTGACACAGAGACACGCAGCAAACGGGAGGATATTACAGGGGCCAAAACAAAAGGATGAAAGAGACCACTGTATCAAATAATCAAGATGTCAGAACTCAGGAGATTGACTTCTCACTTTGACATACCAGTGACCACAATAATTCTGCTGTCAGGAATATGTTTCATCACAAGAGCTCAAAATACAATGCATTTAAGTAATTCAGTCTTATAGTTCCTTTGTAAAATCACTGTCATCACCAAAATGGGCAGAACCAAGATTCACAAGACTTGTAAACCAAGAGACACAAGAGCCAACACAACAGTATCAGAACTAGGTCTCCTAACACCCAGTCCCATGCTTACATGCTACATCTGTGCTCTTAGTCATGAAAGTCACTTCACCTTTACCAATAATTTCTGCGTTTGCCATACAGACAGTCCTCATACTTTTGACACAATTGGTTCCTGAAAACGGCATCTGAAGTCGAAATGTAACTTGGAACTGATTTTCCCTTAGGAAACAATGTTATAAATGGGGGATTGGTTCCTGAAGCAAGACCCAATACCCTATTCTCACCAAAAATAACCCAGAATGTTGTACTCAATCAATTATAGATGAGTATTATAGCTACATCACCCAAGGAACCTTGTCTGTCTATAGCTACATTAATGTATTTATATTGTAAATAGCAATCATATTGATTTGGAAGGACTTCTTTGAGGTGTCTTTGCTGGACTTTTTGAAGGGTTCTTGGCTGGAGTCTTCTCAGGAATCTTGGCTGCAGGTTTTGCTGGAGTCTTGTCTGCTTTCTTAGTGTCCAAGGAAGTTTGGACAGATGCTCTCCAGGGAGATGAGCAATGCAGCAAACTTGTTCGCTGGCGTGGCATCGGATCAAGCATTTTAAAGTCAAAATTGACTTCAGAAAGTTGAAACAGGGTGTCAATTTATAAACGTTTATAAAAGTGCAAAACATTGTAGCTCGAAATATTGTAAGTCGAGGACTGCCTGTAATGGGGCTAATGTTAACCTACCTCAGGTTAGACAGTTAGACCATATTTGTATGATGGAAATACAAACTGTATTAAGCAACCTATAAAGCTTAGAAGCAGTGGCATAAGGAAAGAGCAAACATCTTTCCATATACCATAGCTCTTTCACAGGCAACCTAGAAGTCCCAAGAAAACTGGGAGCAAGGATGATGGTCAAGATTATTCATATACAACTTTTATTCCAATTTAGCAAATTTTTCCTCTCTATTCCTTAGTTATGAGCTTGCATGAAACACCCATTTTCCACATGAATCAACAACTGAACAGTTTTCCATTCGCAGGTTTATTTAAAGCTGACTTCAAAAATTAAAAAAATAAAACCTAGTGACAAGAATCAAGCTTGGAAAGTTGCCATTCATTCTTAGATCCTCCTGGTTTATACACTGGGACCAAACCAACACAATACTGGAATCTGGAGTGTAATCAAAATAATCTGCACAAAGGCTTTAAACATCAGTCATTTTTATAGGAGAAAAATGTTAAATTTCTCACTTCTTTGAGTAATCAATTAAAACAAGGCATTTCGCTTTTTCTCTAGTTCTAATTTGCGTTTCAGGCATTTCTTCTCCCATGTTCTGTTTCAGTCTTCATCCCTCCCATGCTACAGTTCTTTGGGTGAAGTTCTGGGCTTTCTGAAGAGAAAGCCTCTTTCCTACATTTAGATTTGGTTTGCTTTCTGGCTAGTCAACACTACTTTTTCAGCATGACTGGAGATCAAGGCTATATACTGCTTCCCAAGTGCATGCTCTATGCAGCATCCTCACTGCCTGTGGGCCTCAAGACTAAGTCAGTTTAAAAGTAATGAACATTGTTACTGGATTGCTAGTGAAGCTCGCTCAGCCCTGGTTTGTCCTATGCTCATACTTTTAATTCCTCCCAGTCTCTGATTTTTTAAATCCACCCTTCCATCAGAATTGTGGCCACACTGTTGCTTGTTAGAGGACTCTTATCTAATTTGCTAATCTAGTCCTGATGGGGAATCACTATGTACAGGAACAGAAGCATAGGCATCATCAATCCCCACCCCCTCCTCCCCCCTTCCCGCTGGCAGGGCATCATTTAGAGCAACACACACAAGGATTTTCTACCAAATTTAAAACTTGTGGAGAACGTGGAAGCAGAAAAGAGCAAGCAGAGTTTTGGAAAGTCCAACTATTTCCCCCTTCTGAACTTTGCTGCAACTGCAGCATTGCCCTTTGCTTTCTTCTTGGTTGGTCCCTTGGGCTCTGGCTCCTTTCGCTTAGCTGAAGTAATGGAGCCAGTCACCTTGAAGAAGTCATCCAATCGGCCCTGAGTGCTACCTTGGCGGCTCTTGCTTAACCTCTTGATCCCATTGCGGATCCGTTCTTCATTGAACTGCTTCTCCCCACACATAAACTGGACAAGACCATCTTCATCAGGCTCACCCCACTTTAACTCCACAGCCTCAGGGTCTACCACATCAGGCTGCAAAAAGAGGTGTTGGGCTTCCTTGTGCAGCCAGTTCTCAGGAAGAGGGTACTTCTTGGTGTCTATGTGCTCCATGATCTTCTCAATGGTTTTATGTTGCTTGATGAGCTCAATGGCACGCTTGGGCCCAATACCACGGATGCTTTCACAGTAGTCACAGCCCAGGAGAATGCACAGGTCCACAAACTGCTCCCACGTCAGGTCCAGCTCCTGCAGGATGCGGTTCAGGTGGAATTCTTGGATAGGCAGTTTCTTGGCCTCGCTAGCTGTGAGGTGTCGCATGAGCACTGGACTGCCAAAGGTCAGGCAGTCCATATCCTCAGTGGCAGCTGCATAGACTTTGCCAGCTTTCACCAAGGTGGCACAGCTGGCTTCAGCCTCGCCCGGTGCTTCCACATAAGGGATGCCCATCAATGACAGCAGCTTCTTGCACTCATCATTATGCTGCTTGGTTACCTTGACCAATCTCTTGCTGAACTTCTCAACGTTCTCCTCCTCACCTGCCTCCTGGGCCTCCTGCAGCTGCTTCTCTGCCTCAGCACGGCGCTCACTCCGCTTGGCCAGTTCCCCTGACTTCAGCTGGGGGGGCTTGCCATCAAAGACGTAGACCGGCTTGATGCCGTTCTCCACCATGCGGATGGTGCGATAGAACATGCCCATCAGGTGGCTGGTAGTCTCGCCCTCCTCGTTGTGCAGCACATCAGCCCCCTGGCGCACGGCAATCAAGAACTGGTAGATGCTCATGGAGGCGTCAATGGCCACCTTCCGCCCGAAGTAACTCTTGATGTCATTCTCCCGGATGGCACTGGGAACCACGTCTGCAATCAGCTTGGCCAGGCCATGGATTCCCATCCTGGCAACAAGAAATAGGGAAGTGAGAACAGGAGCAGCCCTGGGGCCACATTAAGTTTCTAAGGACCACGGGCTCGTGCAGAACAAATGGAGCAGGCCAGGCCTCATGATGAGGCCTCGTGGTGACATAAGCACCGCTGCCATAGCAGAGGTGCTTCACTTGCACCAGTGCCCTGGTGTGCCAGGAGCAGATGGAGGGGAGGGGGGTAGACAAGGAAACTTGCCCTGCCCCCTTCAATCCCCCCTTGCAGGAACACAGGGAGGACCTATATAGGAGAGGAAGCCTCACCACCAAGTGCTGGGTTAGCCCTTCCCCACCTTTGCCCCCGCCATAGAGTTACTGGCCTCAGAGCAGCGTTTCTCAACCTTTTTTGTTCCAGGACCCATTTGTAAACAATGAAGGCCAGTTCCGACCCAGTGCCTCACCTACCCCACAGTTGTGGAGGGCATGGGGGGCCCCAAGCAGCCCCTGGCAGGCCGGACCTCTGCCAGCCTGCAAGGGAAAAGCCCTGGCTTTCCAGGTTTTCCTCCGTCACAGACAAGCCCATTTGTAAAGCCCGTCTGTGCCCCTTTCATATGTTCTTGCGACCCACTTTAGGGACACGGCTAGGGTGGCCATCATAAAGGACATCCCTATTTTCTGCTACTCCGTTCTGTATCAGCACGACACCTGACGCCCTCTATTTTTCTCTTCCAAGAGGAAGAGACAAGGCGGAGGGCAACTGGACTGTCCTCTACGATGGCCGCCCTAGT